GATTTATCCATCAGTATCCAATCATCAAGTTAATTTCGTGACGATTGATTAGTTAACTGTTTAACAGTTAGATATGAGAAAGGTATAGACCAGAAATAATGGAAGATGATTATGTAATATCATAGATTGATTGAAGCTAGATTTGCACACTATTAAATTCAAGTACAATGGTCTAAATAATAAGTATTTCCGCGTGTAACCGAAGGAGCTATGCCTGACTTTTTTCAGTGGAGTTATTATTGCACACTGCCGGGGAATCTCATACTAGTATGAAACAACCGTTCAATATTTTCGGACTTTCAACAGTTGTCCAACTAAATAGTCTTCACAAAACTTTATGCTGATATTATTTAAAATTATCAAATATAATCAAAATGTATATCATATAGGATCATTTTATCAACATCATCAAACTAATCCACTAAACAGAAAACATTTGTCACTGTTTTATACAAACCTACAAATTATGAAATAAAAATAGGCATGAATGTATAAAGAATGAGAAGTTGGAAGAAATGATTAACAGTATGTTATCTTGATTAGTAAGTTGACATTAGCCACAAATCATACACAAATAAACTTGACGTTAGGTTTACGGTGAATTAATTTAAAACAACAAATCAATATTTAGATAGGGGTTTTGTAGATATGATTGTAATTTTAGTAGTTTAGATCATGAGTTAATTGAATGTAGACCACCAGGGGAAACCTGGAAGCCCTGAAACGTCGTTTCGTTTCAGTATGAGACTCCTCATCAGTGCCCATCCACGATCCCACACCCAAGACTTCAACTCAGGACATGTCAGTCTTGCGTCCAAACACATAATCTATAGACCACTGATTCGGCATGAAATGGCCGTTCAGTGCTTCCAGGTTTTTCATAGTGATATAGCATTTTATTGACTCCTGAATTCAATTATTAAACAAATTAATAGTTACTCACTTCATATTATTACTATTATTATTGGTAATATGATAATGTCAATCATTCAGTCAAAAAATATATTGACAAACATATAATTTGTTTTAATTGTCAAGTTTTTACTCTATCTGGCAACGGTAACAATAACATGATATCAATAAAAAAATATTGCCGAATATACTCAGCTGATTTTTGTTCTACACGATGTCATAACTTATTGATTATTTGACGTAAATCACTCAACATAAATCTTAGTTATTTGTCAGTTCGAGTCCTAGAGTGAGCATCAACTTTAAGATACAGATACATTCAGCTGACGAGTCCCAAATAGGAAGAAATAGGCGTCCTAGACTTCACTGCTAACCACTATCCATCTCTGCTTATAATGATTGTAACTATTTTATTTTATTTATTGAGATTAGAATTATGCAGTTTATGATAAATATTTCTCAGTCGTAGAAACCACTTATTTCCTTGTTCCTCTAAATGACTGTAACTTTATAAAAGGTTATTATTATATATTATGGCAAATTATTATTATATTTGACCTTGTAAAAGTTCTCTACTGGAACACCAATTGATGAAGAAGAGCTTATGGTAAACTGTCAAAGAAATTATCAACTTCAAGTGGTGTTCTTTAGGGTTGTCAGTTTTCCCTAATTTTAATTTTGAAATATTTTTGAAATAATATTCTGATTATCTAACTTTTCAGGAATTGATTCTATACCAGGAGAATCGCCTGTAAACATAGAATATGCAGATGACATAGTTCTGTTTGATGACGATACTAAAAAGATGAAGAGTTTCGTGATCATTGTAGACAATAGTGCTAACATGTTTCGGATGCGTCTTGCTCCCCCTAAATGAAAGGTATTGCTCCAGGATTGGCATTTGTCAACAGCTAAACTTGTGATAGGGAGTAAAATAATTGAGTGTGTAAAGCGCTCCACTTATATTGAAAGTCTCACTGACCCAGGTGGGTTAGTGTCTAACTAAATCTCGACTAATTTTTACAAAATTGAATCACTTATCGCGTAGGTGAGATATTCGTCTCTCAACTAAATGACAAGTATACTGCTCAGAAGCTAATTCTGTTCCACTTTGCAGTGTGAAACGTGGTATTCAAAAACGAGATATTTATGTCTTACTATCATTCGATCACAGATGTTTTCAAATTGTTGTCCATAAATGTTGGGACTATCGAGTTAGCAATTCTGAGGCTGGATTCAGAGTACTAGATAAGAATGGCAAATCACTTGATGAGCTAGCAAAATGCGAAAATGACTCGTGTAAGAGTATTCTGCAAGGAATTAAGTGGTGATCAAACTAAGATATGACATTAAGTTCATGAAAACAGTGACTGTTGAATTGACCCATGTAGATAGATAGGTAGAGACTACCTGTTTGCGGTTCGCGTGATTATTGTATCTAGTAATAGTGGTTGTTGTAGTTGTAGTCAGTGTATTGTCCATAAGTAATATTCGAGGAGAATGAATCAGTTTACCGAGAGAAACACATATTTGAAGATAAACCATTGGTCATTATGATCCTGCAAATTTCAATCAATCAGTCTGCATTTACGCTCACGGTTTAGTTTGAAGGTCAACATAAAAACATTATTTTTAAACCGTAAATAAACTTCAGCTTTTGGTAAATGTCAATTACTTTTGTAGATCTAATCATAAGAAACTGGTTTCATTCATACATTTGATTTGGTGAATTTTTTTATTTAGAGGTACTTTAAGCACATAGAGCTTACATAAAATCGATGACTGAAAAAGAAATATTAGGCCATATTCCGTAGTTATTCGATTAGTAAATAGGTTTTCTCTGGAATTTATGTAACACTACATCGAAAGAAACAAGAATTTTAAAGTTCTCCAATAAAAAATTAGGATAAGTAATGTATAATACCTAAACCATAACAACATACACTTTGGAATTATCATTTTACTGAAATTAAACTGATTATGCATGGGTTAGAGAATGTTGATCGGCGGCCTATGCTCCATTGAGAGTAACAGGCGTAAGTAAGAAATGTAGAAATCTGTTAGATAATAATGAATCGTTTTGTTGTGTAGAGTTTTGAATTTGTTAAAAAAAAGCTTTAAAATCACACAAAAAGATTTTTGTGTGGCTATTTAATACTAAAAAGAAATTAGAATTATAAAATGTTATATTTGATATTCTAAATTCTTGTTACTGATATCTTCAAAAACCAAACGATGGTTAGATGATTAAAACATTTCAAATACAACTAACTGTTTTTCAGATTCAGATTCAATGAAATAGACTTAGGTGAAGGTGGTTAAAAACAATCAGCAAACGTCATATTGGGCGTAAGGTATTTACTGAGCAAAATAATTTTATTAATAGACTCATCACATTGGTGATAGTCTGAGAGTACTCTTCCAGAAATTATATTATACAGTGAGGTAAATATTCAGATGTTATATATATGCATATACATCTTGTTCAGAAGGTAAAGGTTTTTAATAGATCCTATTTTCTATAACACAGGTATCACAGTCGAACTTTCACTCAGTTAACTGATCATTTAAACATAGATTACTTTCTAGACAAACACTGTATAAAAAAATTCATAAAAACCAGTGCAATGGACAGTTACTTCGTCATGGTTTAGGTCTATTCAGTAACGCAACCTCACGCAAGATCGACATCAAAGCCATCAAGTCTTTAAGTAGCTAACATTTCATTGGCCTAATGAGCAAAAGTTTATTTATTTAAATTATGAACTTGTAAAAGGTTTATTTCATTTAAAAAGATTGTGGTTTTAAATACAACTACCAGACAGACATTAACAATGAGGGACGATTAAAATAAAACCACACAGTTACTGTTTTTTCTAGTTTTGGACTCCTTAGGATATTAAAATTAAAAATTTTTGTATTTGTAGAAGATACATGGAAACTGCATTGGCGGGTTAGAATTAAATAGATGAAACTAAGTAGCGCTTTATATATCTCATTTGATTTGTGTGAGGGCAGTGATACTGCTCGTGTGCCCAAACAGAGCTAGGTGGCTTTTTTAGAGGGCCACACCCGGAGCCTTCGACCTAAAGGTCTGATCCTCAAGGCAGTGGAGTAACGTAAGGAGATGCAGTCCCATGGTAGTCGGTGACCAACGATTGGTTCCTAAGCCATTTGTTCCCTGAGGGTACTGGAGCCCATGTGCACCATTGGTTAGGAATCAGGGTTTTCCAACTCCCCTAGGTAGACTCCGTGTCTACGAACCCGGTTAAAGCGCCGGACATTTGCTAGATAGATGGACAGTTTAAGTGAAAAGGTTCAGCTGGATCACGTGGCATGACTTTATCCCTTGCTTATTTTGTTTACCTAATAAAAACCACCCCGGAGTGATCCCCAATGAACAATAGCTTTTTCACCTATGATTCGATTATAACAAAAATTCGGAAGCCATTTATTTAGAATATGGACTCATTTTTGTAGAATATGGAGCGAAATTCTTAAAACAAGTCTGAATTAGTATAAAAAGTGTAAGTCAGTTGATCTAATTATCAAACACTAATAAACAAAATGCACTGTACTTCAAATGTTCTGCATGATCGGTAGTATGTGATTCGTCACCGTCTTATACAAACCTTAACGCTTTTTAGCTCAAAGCACTACGACCTCTCAAACTGTGCAATGATAACTTTGCAGGTAGCACGAAGATCACTGACAGTAAAAATCTCATAACATCATTCGACTATCATTTCATTGTGAGGTAGCTATTAAAGTCCATTCTTCTTAAGAAACAGAATGTAAACCTTTGGACATGTCTGAATTACTGCAGTGGTCCCTACTAAAATTCCAGAACCCTGAGAAGACTAACAGTGGTTTAAACCGAATCCGACAGCATGAATGACGAAATTCAGAAAGTTTCATTCCTCGGAGTTACATGTTTGTTTCCCTTGGTATACTGAATATATTTTAAAGATGAGCACAGTAATTTTTTAGTTAAGTAGGTGCACCAGACTTTGAGATTTTAACTTAAAGAATGGGTGCCAAGACATAAAATGTTGAATGACTGGATGAAAGCAAAATGATTAACTTACTTTATATTTGTAAATAGTTCCCTTGTATATAACAACACGTGTTTTATTGTGCATATTGTCTTGAGGAAAGGCCCGTGGAGGACCGAGTAGTTAGCACATTAAAGACGATCATGGTGGAAAGTAATAATCCCAATAAACATAGATAGGCAACTCGATGTCAATTTTGGAACGCGATATCGTATTACCTTATTTGAATATAGACAAAAAGGTAATAACAATGTATGAAGCAATAAAACACTGATTTACAATGTACAACATCCAGTTTTTGTTATCCTTAACTCTACATTTTGCACGATTGAGACTGGTCGTCTAGTATGCTCAGTAACTTGATATTGATGTCACTGTTTGCAGATATTAACTTCTATTGCAAAGAATACCTGAAAGCCATTACTTAGAGAAGTGCAATATGGATTCGTCAGGTGTCGTGGATGTTATTCAGGTGCTTACTAGTTAGCTTGTACTAAAAAACAACGTGTCGTATGATTGAGTTTGGGTGAGTTTCTTCAATTGTTTATCTTGTTATATCAAATGTACGGTAACTAAGTCCGCAAAATTAGTAATTCTGTCTTTGACGCTGACACTGTCCCGGTTGGTTTTACTGGACACACTCTCGTTGGGTGCATCCGGTCACACATTCTTTATAGATCGCGAGAGAGTATGCCGTTCTAAGTATCCCTGTCAAGCTTCGATCAAGCGCTTCTCAATATATCGACAAAATTGATAAAATATCTACGAAATGATCAAATCCTGGTTTCGAATTTGACTGGGTTGACGTCCTCCGAATAAAACAGTGTTGCGCACCTAAGCTTCATTAAGCCTGGAATATCTGTGACATCTTAAGCAGGGACTAGCTAAGCGATATGTCTGATCGCTGCCAATTTTTATGTCGTAATCACTTATTACTCCTACATGTAAAATCAGGAACCACTGCATTCCCACGAGGCGAAGTGCGAGCACTAAGACTGATACAAATGAAGACTCACTAAACCTAAAACACGCAACAACTTCAGTCGATAATACACTCGTTTATATATTGACTGTACATCCATTATGAATAATAATTAAAATGAAATCACATATATGAAAAATACCAAGAGTTATTCAGATCACATGCTGAATGTCATGCTGAGCATGGTTCATGTGGATTTAATGTACAAACATCTTAACTTGAACAAACACTACACTAAAATAGAAAAATTTTATACCGAATAAAGTATCACATTGGACAAAGTATTGTCAAAAACTAAGTCAGTATAGCTTTGTTGCTGTAAAACAGGCTTTAATGGATGCAAATTTACACAAGAAAGGAAGCTGAAACAGATGGTCAAAACATCAATATATTTAGTTGATTGCAATCATTGCTATGATAGTGTGATCAACCCCTTGTTAAGCAAGTCGATTACACTGGAGTAAAGGGGAATTTTTTCGTTCTCGACAGGTCTGCTAACTGGTAATAACATAATATTAATATTTATTATTTGTTGGTCATGTACTGCTACTGACAAAACAGAATCCTTGGTACTTGGGTTTACTACCACATCCAGGAACGCATTGCCCCACACCTTTGGTTTTTAATAAGCATTGGAGAAGTGACGAGATAATCGTCGAGATTACAACAACCCCCCTCATTACGTAGAATCTATTCGAATCAGATGGTAGCTGTATTGAATGTTACCCCAGCATCCCAATTTCTGTCAGTGGGTCGAAATGTTAGTTTTTCGCGAAGGTAAATGAGGGTGGGATGGTGGAAGAATTTTCGTTTGTTCGTTCGAATTGTTGTTTAAAATCCTGGCTCATATTCATCCATTTTGTTTGGTATGTATGTATATATGTATACACATATATCGTGGTTGGTGCAAGCAATGGTATGAGCACACGAATGGGAAGTGAAATATTTCATTATTGTCAACAATTTGAGGACTTTGTCTGTCAAGGCAAACCGTGACTGCCTGTAAGATCTTACGTGGAAGTCACATAATTATACATACTGACTCATCGCATCGTAACAATTGCCAATATATAAATAAATAATACATTTGTAATATCCCAATGAGTAGGAAAATTAGACTTTCTGAAGTTTCGTGACCTAATGTAAGCCACTTCTTCAGAGAATAAATAAACGAATTTAAATTAATCAAAGTGTTGAAGATGCCGCAGGTATTCGGAGTTTGACAACGCTTTAACGAGTAACACCTAATATGAAGCGCATCCACCAAGTAAAATCAAAAGGCAGAAGCGAGGAAATCGAAGATATATTTGATAAGCTATCAATATATCGAGGATCGTTCGCACTAATCTGGCTAGTGATTGCGGCAGATGTTGAGCACGGCGTTTCCACACGTGATCTGGTGCGGATGCTTGACCGAGCGCCTTCAGCTAGATGAGTAGACTAAAACTGTGGTCAGCATCCAATATCGAAAATTTACAGAGCTATTTATTTTGGGGAATTATTTATCGCTACAGTCTACATTAAGTCACGAGACGTCAGAAAATCTAATTTTTCTACTCATCGGGATATTACAAATATATTATTTATTTATAACAATATACCCAACGCTCAATTTACTCAAAATTATCAAATCAAATCTTTGTAATGATTCCCAATAAATTACAAATATATGATGGAGAACAAGCGTAGGTCAGAGATAGAACAATATATTTAATATGAGTAGAAGCAAGTTATACAGATCGACCACGCCTGCAAGGCCGAGCCATGCCGTCCGACCAATTCGAATTAATTCAATTCACTCTTCCGGACTTCTTCAGCGTTAGGCTTTTCTCCGCGTTAAATGTTGAATGTCCATTTCCCATATTGTCTCGTATTCAGCTTTAATGATTGTGTAGCTAGGGCTCAATGCCACTACAAATGAATCTAAGCTGCCTGATTATATTGCGAATTGCAATTCGAAAATATTTGTCTAAATAGTTTTGATTCTAATAGTAGGCCCCGAAGTTTAGATTTTCACCAACAACTATCTTATAGTATGGTTATCATACTAGTGCAGTGTGATAGTACCCAAGTTCGTCAACTAATATGACAGATCAATTCATAAACCTGAATACGTATAGTAATGACGACGATGGGTTTAGTGAAAATTTCTAAAGGTGGTTCCACCAATTATTGAATTCGAATGACAAAGAAGATATTATGTAACGCATGTGTAACCTAGGTCAACATGTAGGTTGACGTGGTATATGACAATTTAAAGATTTTGAAAGTTGTGTAGGATGCAATTTCCTACGGGTGTAATTTTAAGCTATTCTCTAGACTGTCGAGCACAGAGTCTTGGTTTAGTCAATGTAAGAACAAGCAAGCTATTTGGCTCGATAAACTTTACCTGTTTCTAAGACATAAATTAACACTGTTAGTGTAACGCAAAGAGAACTACGAAAATCCCTCCACAGCCTTTTTTGTTGAACAGTATTTTCATTTATTTGTTTCTTCTCCATGTCACATATTGTAACCTTTGTTCATATCTCGTTTGAGCTTTTATTATGTGATTTTGATTAAAAACTTATCTTTTTGTTACCTTTTTTTATTACATGTTGCCGGACTATTGACAGTGAAGTCCTGTTTGACTAAGCTCAAGGTCACGGCGTGATTCAGTGTGACTGTCAACCTTTTGACTGTCTGCTTGGAAGGATTTCTGGAATCCCTGCAGTTAGATATTTGATACCCTTTGTTGAGAATATATTTGTTGATTCTCAGGTATCAAATCCTTTGGTATTGATTGTTTCTTTTATTGTTTAGCGCACTACTTTGCGTTAGAGAAGCTTCTGATTGTATAGTACAGGCTTTACTGTTTGAGGTATTTTGTATTTTTGATATAATTTGTTCTATTTCTTAAATTAGAACCGTATAAATTGAGCACAGAATTTGTGTTTTGATATAATTTAATACGAGTGTCTCAAAAACGCTTGGCGAGCTATACAGAAGATCGAGTCTGACCCATTCAAATACGTTTTGGTTCGTCAGTCCTGCGTTCAGCCTGAATACCGGTAGTTCGGTCGTTACAGTTAGTAAACAAAATAAACAGTACAGTCTGTTAAACAGGGAAAGGAAAGAGATAAGTAACGTACTGAACAGTAACTGGAAGATGGAAAAAATAACTAAACATGGCGAATATTGTTTTATAATGAACATAAAATTGTGATTGATGAATAAACAAGACACAGTCATACAACGCCAAAGAAAGTCAACTTGGTGGTTTAGCATTGGTGGGTCCGTTTATCGACCAGATTTTACAATCCTCCCGAAACGCGCACTACATCCAACGTCTTGGGTCGTCTTCACCGTAAGATAACCGTCTTCCAGTAGGTATATGTTTCGTACATACCGAACAATTCCTTCATTTGCCATTCTCAACTTTGCTGTACGAATCCACCCGTCAGGGACATGGCTTTCCTGTTCGACAATGACTTAACACAATAGACTTCTACTCATTTCAGTCAAGAACGTTTGTAAAGCTTCATCTATCAACGTGTTCTGAAATAGAAGCGCACTTAGAGTTCTTCTAATTGGTCTTATGACGCGTTCCCAAACGCTGCTTCGATTACTAGCTCTCGGAAGCTTGAACCACCATTCACTACCTCTTTCTAAAGGGGCATTCGCTATCTTGTTCTCGGTCCAACTACACATAATCTGTCTAACACTAGAGTTTGCTCCTTTAAAGCTACCAGGTGCATCCCTACTTTTGTCCATAACTCCTAAAAAGGCACTCTTCTCAACACCACGTACAATACCACGGCGAATAAGTGTTGCTTGCTTTTCAGAGTCTCAGTTTTTGGCTTCTTTGTTACAGTGGCCTTTGGCTTTTTCGGTGCCTTGAGTTTCAGCTTGATGACTTTCTTTTCCACTCTTTTCTGGTCTTCCCCTGAAATGAACTTCAAAACTTCAACATAGTTACAAGTCCATTTATTTAAGTTAAGAGGGTCTTTTGAAATGTGAGCATATCAGCGAAGATGTATAGTGGCTAGCACTGGAATGCAGGACGCGCGTTTCGTCTCATTTGGGACTCATCAGCTGGATGAACCTTCATCTCAGAGTTGATGTTCACTCCGCGACTACTCGAACCCAGTACCGTCCGCTTCAAACGCCATCGCGTCATCTACTTAGCTACTGAGTCCTGATAGCCACTTGCTTGTGCAATGGGGTGAAGTTTAATTCACTTGATATTGTTTTATTTGAATCTTCCCATTGATGTTTAGGACTGCAATTGATCAGTCTCTCATATTGACATATGTGCATACTGTGCGTATTGCCTCGATATTGCCTTAATTTACGAGCATTATAAGCAAAGATGGATAGTGGCTAGCAGTGGAATCCAGTTTGACGCGCGTTTCGTCCTATTTGGGACTCGTCAGCTGGATGTATCTGCATCTGAGTTGATGTTCACTCTGAGACTCGAACCCAGAGAGACTGATCAGTTGCAGTCCTAAACATCAATGGGAAGATTCAAGTAAAACAATATCAAGTGAATGTGAACATATCAGTTTGGCTTCTTCTATAGCATCCAAAGTTATCAATAAATCGTCTACATAGAACTGTTCCTTATTAGCCTGCGTAACAATCCTGGGAGATCTGTTTTGATTATTAGAAATCGTCTTCTGCAAAGCAAACATGGAGCAACATGGCGACGAGGTTGTTCCGAACAGATGGACTTTCATTCTCTAGACCTCTGGCTCTTTTTCTAAGTCACCACCTGGCCGTCACAAATACCTAAGAACATCTTGATCATGCACCAGAATTATTACTGGATGGAACACGACTTCAATGCACGACATAAGACATATTGATCGTTGTCCGGACCCGGTGAAAACGTCTACTAAGTTGTTGACTGAATCAGGCCCAGAATAAAGATTCTTGTTTAAAGACGTCACAGCATACTGAGCTGCACAATCGAACACTGTTTTTAACTTGTTAGGCTTCTTGGGATGGAAGACGGAGTGATGAGGAGGATGAAAGATTCGTCCATCACAGCTGTTATCGTTTACTTTTTCCGCGTAATCTCTTTTTATATACTGAGTCATGGCATTCACATAGTCTTGGAGCGACTTCGTATATCGAATAAGTCTACGTTCTGCTAATTTCTCATTATTAGGTAATTTGTGTTCGTGCATCCAAGGCAGAGCCATTTGACAGTGGAAATTTAACTTTTGCACTGAATTTGATAAGGAGCTGAATGCTTTACAGTCTTCCACAGATATCGATGGAGTACGACCAAATGGGTCTTTAAATTCACTTGAGTACAATTGTTCAAACATATCTTCTAATTCCTCCTTAGCCGAGAGTTAATTAAGTACGCGGTTGCTTTCACGAAGTTCCTCATAAGGGCAGAACATAGTCCTACCCAACATAGTCCTCACAGTAGGCGGTTCATTTGTCTTTCCGGTTCTTATCTCTTTCATCTCATGTACACCCGGTGCGTTACACCCAATCATTAGGTGAACATTCTCATCTTTTACTCTCGGGAAACTCAGGTCTTTTAAGTGAGACCAGGATGCCATTTGATGCGCCGTTGGCACAGTCCTGTAAACTGACAGTAGTTTTTTGACTGTCAATACTTTCTGGACCTTAACGGATGACGAAAAATGTATCGAGTGCAACTCCACATAGACCTCTTTGGATACCAATGACGATTCATTACTAAGAGTCTTTAGAGATACCAATTTTGGTTTCCATCGAAGCTTAACTCATCAGTCAAATCATCGACAATGAGGGAGGTATCTGGTCCGACATCCAAAAAGCAGCAGGTCTGAATAATCTCACCATTTTCCATCCGTACAGGCACTACTACAAATGCTACTGGTCTCTGTATACGCTTAACACACCCTTCCGTACAGTTCTGGGTTGTAATGTATGTCGCTGCTCATACCAAGCGTTCCCCAAATCTACTTTATGGTAACTATGATCGTAAGAAGTTGTGTTGCACAAATACTTAGAACGACACGAATGCTAACGCAATAATACTGTATTTGAAGCAGGCATATAACGTGGGCGCGATGCCGTTTTTGAAAAATATTATAAAGGCTGTACTCATTGCAATACTAAAATAGAAACCTATTCATTAACTCATATTGATATGGGTAGTTGTCGTCATATTGGTAGCAATGGCATTATAGGTTGGTTGTGCAAGGTTTTTGACTGATTTTGTTAGTTTTATTTTTAATTTGCATATTTTAGTCAGGTTGAGTGTGCGGTATGTTGTCTAACAAACATTACATTATGAGGTGAAGTTTTACTTAGCGCCCACCCAACTGGCAATTCTACTGATTAATTTCCCTGACAGTTCCGATTGAACCCCTCAGGACAGAAAACGATTTCAGAAATGTAAAGCGTGGTTTCTTCTATTGACAGAAAAAACCCGTCTGATCTAATGTAATAGTTGTTTAGAGTAGATGCATATGACTCGGATAAGTTGATGTGTTTTGTCGCGTACCACAACCAATCATGCTACTTTATGTTTAACTAAACGTACGCGACTGACACAACTAGTTGCTAGGACTGAGGTATCACAATATCAATTCAGATTTTATTAATTCCTTATTTTAATCAGTCGATATTTATCATATGTATCCTGCTGAATTATGGACGAATTTCGTGAGTTTGTGCCAGATCGAATAAGTTTACTTGCTTCATAGAATTATGGTCTAGTTCGCACCAGTACACTTTGTTACTATAATTATAGACTCAATATTAAACTCGTTGAATTGATATGAAGTGACTGCTTTATCTATATGATCTTACACAAAGCTCACCTCATTGTCTGTCCTGACTCGTCGTACGTAACAATCAGCACTTATGAAGAACATGTTCGGGCTGAAGATAGCATAGTATATTCTAATATGATAGGGATTTGTTACACAGACGACCATGCCCGCAAGGCTGATTCAGGCAAGACTGACCAACTGTTCCTGCTTTCATCATCTTGGACGTTCCCTAGGTGTTACATTTTGAATGTAAGTCTTCTCGGCAACTATATACTTGACTTCAAAGATCGTGCAAAAAAGGATCGATAGCATTTCAGCTCCTCTGCATGTGATTAATAAATTTCTTTAACGGGCAACTTTGTATGACTATCATTTTCTCTCTTCGATGTGTATTAAAACAACGAATTACAGGTGGTGAAGCCGTTCATTAGGGACGTCCAAACCATGTCAGAACACTGGATAGAAAGTGTCTTGTGAGAGGTCTACAGAACAAGGATCGCTGCAGATCTGATCCATTGGATTCGGCAGTGAAGTTCAGCATTTCCGACTTTTTTGGGTTCACTGAATCGGAATGACCAAGTAGTGGTGTAAGAACTGTCACTAACCAATTTACTTAACGACTAATCGATCAACGTTTTTCTTATGTCTGGGAATTAGGGCTGTAATTGCCATTAATGAACTTATCTATGCTGTTAAATTGTTAGGCCTTATTTAATTTTTGACTGTCAACGATGTAACTGGTCAGTCTGTATGAACTTACCTCCTATTCATATAACTGCCTATCTAAGTTTATCCGTTCGTAGCGGGCGAGGTGTATAAGATCTTTGCAAGAACCTTTAACGAACATACAAAATATCACCGGTAAAATGGATTTAAGATGAAAGGTGTACAAGAGTATATCGCTCTTTCATGGCTAAGCCATGCAGCAGTCACGATGTTCTGGTGTCGGTGTTTAATAACAATCACTATTGTCGATCCATTATTCGGGATCTATATGAGCAAACCTTAAGATAAGGTACATCCAACTTGAGGAATCATTTGGTTAGTGTTCAGTATTATTGCGTTTTCACTATGAATACATATATATTATCTCACGCATTCGAGCATGTAAGGGTCTTTTACAAGCCTGAGGGGAAGAGAACTTGACATTTTTATGAAAAAATAGACTTTGCCCACGTACTTTAGACTATAGATGGTTCAAATGCGCCAAAAATATAGCTGTTATTTTCAGTTGACAGGTACCTAAACTCCTTATGTCATTGCGTTATGTGATTTTGACCCTCAAATGTCGACATTTCGGCCATTCTTTTGCTCGTCAGTTCTACATTCGGGGTTTCACAAATTTAGCAGGTAACTATCACATTTTTTGTTTGGTATGTATAACTATAAAAATCAAATTACCACTTTCTTGTTGAAAAATTTGTTTTCGTGGTCCTTAGGTAGAAACTTTTACCCTCACAACGATTTGAAGATGTCTTCTAAATTAAATAAATCTTGTTCGAGTGGTTTGGGGCAGCTTCATAATGGAAACGGACACATTACTCTCTGGCTATTTTTATTCCGCGATTCTTCTCTCTTTACATCTCATACGTAGGCTGAAATTAATAGTATTTCTAGTCCACTAAGGTGACAGTGCCTAAATATTTGGTAAGTTTGGAACTTGTCGCAAAGTGAATCTATTAACTTAGCAGGGCTTTTTTGATAATAGATGGAGAAACCGAAAAGGTCTTGATGCAGAATGAAAAGAAGCCGTATACATCATGGTCCGTTGAATGTTGCATAAGGGGCAAGATGGTAGTTTTTGGGATAATTTGTTTCAAGTCGAAACATTGCATCATGCTTTTAAGCGAAATCTGGTTCTTCTCATAGTAATGACTTGACCAGACGCTCATATTAGAAAGTTTGAACACACCCTCCCTGAGTCGCATACGGGAGAATGTAGAACCCAACAGATGATCCGTCAAGCAACTAGTGTCTAAAATCAAATGTGAGGTCAGGTTAGAGTGAAAGAGACGTTGTTAGATTCAGGAAGGATGTCAAATCATGTAAAATAAATAACCTGATGAATTTAATTTCGAATGGTGACCTATACGTCCAAAAAAGTCCAAGGACAAGTTACGCGCGGATGTTATTACACGTCATTTTCAATTTCCAGGATGTTGTTCTCCCTAGTTCTCCTTACTCTGTGTCTTTGTTTCAGTGAAGGTATGATTGAAAAGTTTGTTCAGTTTTGACTGGTTTAGCTAAATCAAATCGCATATTACTTCGAGATGTAGACGTCATAACCTTATATCATGATAAATTTGCCCAGTCAAGAAAAGGTTATAGATTGCCACAGGTAAGCTATGGTGGTTCATGAATATTTTTTCAGCTTAAATGTGTTGGTGGGAGTGGTTTCAAACATCCCCAGTATTACCCTAAGGTTGTCCAGTGTTATAATCGTGGATTCGATGGTCGTGATGTTCAGTGGGAATGCAAAGCTGAACTAGATAAGAGTGTTTCCTTTGGAGCCATAAACGTTAACTGTGAAGGCTATGACTACCCAGAGGACGAGCATATTGTTCATGGCTCGTGCGCTGTAAGTATTTTAATGTTTCTGTCTCCATATAAAATGTCCTGTTACCTACTTTATATAACTGCAGGCTCGGGAAAACATTTTTTCAGCGTAAAATAACGCTTATTTCAGTTTTTGGTTTGCTTATTAGCTTTAAGACAACCAGAGTAGTCGTTCAGGGTTTTGTTACACAGTCCTATTTTCCTATTAGATGCATAGTTGTTGAAGTGTTAGCCTATCGACTGAGTGTCTTGATACTCATTTTCTACAAAGTGTGTGGTAAAGTTAGTCTAAACTTATATGTTGCTCTCACTAGGTTTCTGTTTCATTTGTGCGATATGTAGATTGATATTCAGATAACTTAGATTGCAATTGGTGTGGGAGTCAGTGGTTATGTCAGCCATCACTTTCATTTGCTTATTTATTAGATGGTTATTCAAATGAATAACGTTGTTAACTTCTTTAAAATAATTTATGAGGATAAAACACAATTTGTCGAGTTTGGTATATGTTCAGTGTTCGATTTTCTTGTATTGATATAACGCTACGATTATTAGTAGGATTAGTCTATGAAAATTCAACCGAATTACATTTCGGCGAGACTAATTAATGTGTTCTTATCACTTAGTGGTGTAGATGTCTTAACTTTATTTCACGTCAGACTTGCTCAATCTGAAAAAGTTTATGGATTACCTAGTTTAAGCCGTAATGTTTCGTGTATATTTAGCACTGATATGTCAGTGGGAATGGGTTCGACTGTTTGACATTTGCTTATCTTCACTGCATTCAAGTAATTTGAGGAACTCATCTAAATAATCGACTACCATATGAGCATGCATGGTAAATCATCAGTTGGGGTTAGCTTAGATTATCGAGAATTAAGGGTTATTTAGTCTGTTAAGTCTTTTGGCGATTTGTTTAAGATGTGAAATTTGTCTTCAAATAATAAAAATCACTCTGCTTCTTAGAATTTTAGCTACTTAATCTAAATCTACTTGACATTATGTAAATGGTGTTGCTTACGCTTTTACCCTCATAAAGTATATTTTAGAATTACACTGAATGATTCACAAAATGTACTAGTTATACTTTTGTACTTTTGACCACATTAGTTTATTGTATTAATTTGAAATGAAATAATTTATTTGAACGCTTCGACATGGCTATCAGAAAGACAGTATTTATGTATAAATTTATGGTAAGAATCAGTCATGTGTTTTATTAACCATCATAGTTTAAGCCCCCAAATGCCCTTTTACGGGTGAGAATAAGGAGAGTTAGCTCCCTCTCGAAACGCTCTCAAGTGGCCACGTGCATACAACCACTGCCAGGGAAGTCCTACTCACTGCTTTCCATTGGGGTATTGTTTACGAAATTGAGGACGATAAGCGAACGTCCAGCGCTTTAACTGGGTCGATGGATATTGAAGATCCACCTAGGGGAGTTGGGAAACCCTGATTCCAAACTAATGGTGTACATGAACTCCAGGATCCTAAGGGAACAAATGGTGTATGAACCAATCGCTGGTCATCAGCAACCATGGGAGTGAATCTCCTTATGTTACTCGACTGCCTTGTGGATTAGACCTTTAGATGAAAGGCTCCGGGTGTGGTCCCCTAGGAAAACCATGTGGTTCGTTTTAGGCACGCGGGTAGTATCTCAGCTCTCACATAAATGGAATGATTTATGTGGCGCATATCTATTTGGTGCCTTCTTGTACCAATGTTTATGTATTTAAATGAAAATAAAAAAACAAATTAACCATCATGCTACGTACTTGCAATGCCTTGAACAGATAAACTACATCTTTGTTATAAGAGTTATGGAGAACAAAATGGCCTTATCAGAAGCCATCTATTTGGTATTAAAATCCTTGGCAAATAAAGTTCAACTATATCTACCCAAATTCTGCTAGAATCTTTGTTCTTGCCCTTTTCAAAATGATAAAGGGAACTATGTCTACCCAAATTTTAGTCTTTCTATTTTTTTTTAAAAGCTGGAATACGAACTAAATGTACGAGGTTCTACTCGGGAGAAAAGATATCACAGGTATGTATCATTAATAAGTTTGGAATTGTTAATTTCAAATAAACCGGACACTTTTGGGATGTTTATAATAAAATACTGACGTATTTGTGATATTACAAAAAGTGGAAATGAAAATTTGTGACGTTTCGTAATTTAGTGTAAGCCTCTTCTTCAGAGTAAATAAATACATATCTAAATTGGATAGGAGCATAATTTTAAACAGTGCAAAGCAATAATTCGTTAGAAAGAGATCCCCTCTCTGAACTTTTTGTTATTAGCGCTTAAATAGAAATAATCTATGCTTCATATTACTAATTTCACGTTTTATGCACCCATTGACACACGTCATAGTGTACACGGTTATGTCACATAATAACCTTATCTAAAAATGACATAACATAGACGTAATCAAGTGTATTTTGATTAATTCAAGTATTCTGTCTTGTTGCTCTATACCATTTAAAATTGTCTCCATTTAATCTGGTTATTTACTTATTTACTCTGAAGAAGTGGGTTATACCAAGTTATGAAATGTCTGAAATTTTAATTCCTATTTATTGTCATCACAAACTGTTATATCCCGATAAGAATAATGAATGGTAACTTTTAGGATCCATTTCTGGACTAATACTATACGTATCATTTTTTCGTATAACATTAACAGGGCACATAGGTCACAAGTTATATCGATAAATTATGGTATATCTATTTTCCACTAATTGTGTGTTTACTTTTTGTACTGTTTGTCAATAAAATCAATATCTAGTACTATTATTATATGAATAAGTATTTACCAGATATCATGATTGATTCAACTGGGAATAATTCAATCCTTTTATTAGAAACTAATGTTCACTTGACTTTTATTCACACTATGTTTTTAAGGATTGTAAATTTTATATTTTACTGTACTAATATAACATGTGTAAGCGTTCATCTTAGGTTCTGCTTTAATTGTAATTGTTTCTTCTGTTCAAATTAAGTGAAACAGGGTGCAACCCTGTGATCTCTAGCAGTCTAAAAGAAAGTGCTATAACCATTGTGTCAAACATTCTACATTGGTTTAAAGGTATTGGTAAAGCACTTATTTTTAGTTCATCTTGATTTAATTCCTCTGCATTAACGTCTTTTACTTTGAATAATTGGTTATATTCTGTTCATATATATGTTGAATGATCCATTAAATAAATCCATAGGGGCCACGGTACAAACTGTTTTGGTGAAACATGTTCAAAACTCAGAGGATATGAAATATTAAGGACTGTTCATGTCACTAACATGCCTTAAAAAACGGTTCTTCTCAAATAGGTCAAGCGTTCTAGTAAGTGTCGTAAAAAAACATTAAAACAAGGTGTTGGTCAATTTTGTGTGTTAATGAAATCACTAAACATGTGAAGTTTCTTTTTCTTTCTTATCACTGATTTCAATGTTCAAATAATTATACATTATTCTAGCGAAACATGAAACGACGAGGCTATCAGAAATTGTGCCTTCTGAGGGCATTTTATTACGCTTTGAGAAATGAAAACGAATATGCAGCAAGTTTATTTTCACAGATGGAGAGTATTTTGTTAGGTATAAGAATAATGTGCCATAAATATTATGCAACAACGCCTTTATGACCACGGTTCGCGTATTTATTGAACGTACCATTATTAAATCAATCTAAACAGTTATCATTTTCCTGCGTTACACTAGTGTCTTATTCCAATTATTGTTTGACAGCTAATTAGGTGTTGTTACTATTCATCTTCAATTGTTTTTTAATCTTTATTCTACTATACATTTTGATCTTAAATGTTTGTTTGAAGTCACTAACTTCTAGTGTGAGTCATGTTGGTGGATGCAGACTAGTTGGTTGGGTCCGCGTGACTAGTTAATTCAATGGTGGTAATATATAAAACATTGCATATAACGACATGGTACAGGAAGAAAGAATAGGTTCGTAGAAAGAAAGATATGAAGCAGTTTTAATCTCATAGTTTGAGAGGAGACAAAGAGTGTATACACTTACACCATTGTCATCGATTATGAGCCATGTCACCAAGAGTCTCCAACCATTGGTTACAATAGTCACGCGGACCCCAACCAAGTAGTCTGCATCTACCAACATGGCTCAGACTAGAAGTTAGTGACTTCAAGCACTGATACCACGTTTTGGTTTGACCGCCCCTAACTTTCTTCGGTTATCCGTAACACCGGTTAGCATTGCGCGTCGTGGTAATCGGTGTTTAGGCATACGCAATACTTGGCCTAACCATTTCAGTCGATGATGATTCACAACCTCATCAACTGATTTACCATCTGTTATATCTAGAAATGGTTGATTTACTTGATATAACGCGTACAACTGAACACACGAACGCCCAAACCCTTCCAAGTCGCAAAGAGAAGACAGAAGACTAGTGAAAGGAATGTTATTCCAAACAGTGTCAATTATGGGTACAAATTGTCAGGTATTTATAGTTTTAGTAAGAAAAAAAATCATCATTATAGTCCTCCAATCCGCATACAGGGGGTTATTAGCCTTGTCCAATCGGGAAGCTACACGTAGGGATTCTAGAATATTCTTGCTAACGGTGATTGGCTGGAATATCTTCGGCTCCTTCTGAGCCTCTTATAGCTTCCTCGAGTTTACCCGTGGTCCGTCGTCACACCATCATTCCCTAATGCCCTACGTCTAACTTCACTATTACTTACCCGGTGATCCCAGCAGATACCAGCAATAGTTCTAAGGCATCTGTGGTTAAATACTAGTAACTAACGAGTATCTTCTATTTTTAAAGGCCATGTTTCACAGCCGTATAGTAGAACGGAACGAACTGACGCGCAGTATACTCGTCCCTTAATTGATAGACGGATATCTCACCTTTGCCATAGGTGACGTAAGTTGGCAAAGGCCAAACGAGCTTTTCGAATCCGTGCTGTGATTTTGTCAGACACCAACCCATTAGGGCTGATCAGACTTCCAAGATAAGTGAAGTTGTCAACGCGTTCGATTACTTCACTCCGTATCCTTAGTTCAGGTGTTGACGAAGACCAGTCCTGAAGCAACAACTTGCATTCAGAGGGAGAGAAGCGCATCCCAAACATTCTGGCATTGTTGCTCAGTGGTACCAAAAGACTCTACATTTCATCAGCGTCTTCACCAAACAGGACTATGTCATCTGCGTATTCTAAGTCGATAAGTTGACCTCCTGGTAGGAGATCGATGCCCGAGAAGTGAGTTGATGAGAGCGTTATTTCCATCAGTAGATCTATAATGAAGTTAAACAAAAGTGGAGAAAGTGGACTAGTGTTCGAGTAAAGAGCCTTCACAAGGTTTATGTACTTCTGAAGTACACCTTTCAATGACAGACACTGCCACAGAACCTCTCGGTCTACAGAGTCAAATGCTGCTTTTAAGTCAAGGAAGACCACCATTGTCAGACGCCGATAAGTATGCCTGTGTTCTAGAACCTGACGAATGGTGAATATGTGGTCTATGCATCCACGACCAGGTCTGAAGCCAGCTTGATTCTCTCATGTTTGCAGTTCACAAGTCTTACTTAGGCGTCCGAAAATTCATCACTCATAAATTAGTTTCATATATGTAGTAAACTATTTTGCTTTTTTTTCAACCACTTAAATAAATAAATAGATTGAGTGTTATCAGTTTTTGCAATTATTTAGACATATATCTAAGTGATAACAGGCAAACATAACAAGATACCCTTTAATTTATTCGAATTTAAACTGATTACTGAATACTAGTAAGTAGTATAATGTAGTATACAAAAATAAAATGGGAATAAAGAGAAAACATATAGAAAACACAAGCAGTTATAATACTTATGTTTATACTTATTTCTTCTCTTTATCTATTTAAAGTTTTCTTTTCTTATATATTTTAGAACATTTGAAAAAGTGTATACACATGCACAAAATAACTTTGGCTATTTTATAATTATTGGATTGATTGTATTAGCTGTTATAATATGGTATTTTTGTATTAGGTAATGAATTATTTGATTCCTTTTTTAATGTTAATGGTTTAATAACCCAATTTATGTGTTTATTCTTGTTAAATACTGTATTGTGATTGTAGGTATTAAATGACATAGATTTGATTTGATAAATTGAACATGGTCTGTTAAAATGAAGACATGATATCAGTTCATGAAGTCATTAAATATTGGACTAAATAGTGTTGATGAGTACAGAATTCCTGGTTGAAGTTAACCGGGTCATCTTGTTTACTGTTTTAAAATGTTAGGCGTCATGGTTCAGAATCGATCTAACTAACTCCACTCCTGAGTTTCACAATTACCAGATATGTTCTATTCCGTGAATCAATTCCTTAAATCATATCGTCCATGCATAGACTTTCACTACAAATGCTACTCCTACTTCTGCCATTTTAGTATTCATCTTGGTGTGCTGATACTGGGTGACAACTTGGACTGACGTAGGTCCATATATGTTCCAGGTCCTACACTTAACTTATTTATTCCTTAGGTGTATCTATATACATATACTTCAACTTGTGTTTGAACCCTCTATGTCATGTCTGTTGACGTATAGCAAAGAGTATCCTTGTGTTTGTATGTTATCCAAAATGATTCTTATCTCAGTAGCGAAAATAATACTACTGTTTTGTTGTACAATTGTCTGAGTATACTACTGATGTATATACACTTTCTATATGCTTGCCCAAACCAGCTACTTCTGTGAAAATAACCATAGGTGAATAGAATTATTTTATTGTTTAAACAAATTAAGAATGTATGTACAAATAGTTGATCTTTTTATTGCAATTTTTCTTATTTCGATTAAGCTTTTCTTATTAGTTAGTAGTTGTAGATACTACTCCACTCAACAAAAAACGAATATCCAACGCCTTAACTGGGTTGGTGGATATGGAGGGTCCATCTAGGGGAGTTAAAAAACCTGAATTCCAACCAATGGTGCACATGGGCTCTAGTATCCTGAGCGAACAAATGGAGTATAAACCCATTGTTAGTCACCGTCTTACATAGGACTGCATCTGTTAACATTAATCCATTGCATTATGGATCAAGTGAAAGGCTTGGAGTGTGGGCCCTTAGGAAAACCACCTGGTTCTGTTTGGGCACACGCATAGTATTACATCCCTCACACAAGTCAATGATAACTAATCATTGTTATTATGTGGCATATGCGTATTTGGTGCTCCCTTGTACCAATGTTTATGTGTTCAAATAAATAAATAAATGATTACATAAAGTAATATGAATGACAATGAATGTTCGGATACGTTCAGTTATATTGTCAATAAAAATTGATCCTAATCATACTGTTTCTCTTTTTCTATTTTCAATGTACATGATATCATTAGACCTTCTACATTTCCATGCGAGTATATCCCACCAACTGGATTCGATTTTTCACAGTCACAACAACGACCACCACCTCCATCTTATGATGAGACAATTTTCAATGGTAAGTTCTATTATGAATTAATATAGTTAGTTTGTTGGTTAGTTCATTTTGTCAACTTTTATTGTTATTTCCCTGAGATAAATATATATAGAGCTGGTAATATTAATAAATTGTAATATACTGATTCGTTATTTTGCTCAGTTTTAAAAGTCTTTGACATTAACCCATTACTGTTGGAAGTTCTCATCTGTCATGATGGGTGACTAATAAAATCTTAGTATAAATTCAGAGAGTTTTGTTAGTGTTTGTCAGCTTAGGCTACTGGCGGGGTAGGTGAGATTTTGGTCTACCAACTCAATGACGAGTTTACTTTGTATTAAATCACTACTTTACGGTTGCTAAATGTGGTATTTACAAAAATAGAGGGTATTCATAGCCTACTATTATTTCACCATAGATATCTTTGAAGCATTGCTTGTATATTTTTAAATCACGAAGTTAAAAACTCGGAGGTTAAACAATACTGGGTAAGGATAGTAAATCCGTAGATGAGTTAGTGAATGTTTATCAACTGAAATGGTTAGGATCTGTATAACATGTGCCCATCCACCAATTACATTGACACGCTATAGTGGTTGGTTCAGTACTGTTGGAAAGAAATGGATATTGACCAAACTTGAAGTCCATGAAAACAGTGATTGTTGAAATGACCCATGTAGGTAGGTGGTGACAGTTCAAGTTATCATAACCCATTAGCATGGTAGGGATAGTAAAAGTGTCAGTGGTAATAAGAAAGATTAAGCATAGAATATACGATTCAGGGAGATAATGTAAATTGGTAAAATAAAAACACACAACAAATTTAAGGAATCCAGAAGTTCAGAATTTGGAGGAAGACAAAGTATGGATACACATGAGCCATGCCATTCAAAGTCTTTAACTATTGTTTACGATAATCACGCTGAACACAACAAGGTAGTTTACAGCTGTTGACATGGCCAAGTCTAATTGTCGATGACTTCATACACCGATACCATGTTTTGGTTTTGGTTCCTCTAGCTTTCTCCCAGCCGACCTCTTCAACTGACAATGTTGCCCCGTCGAGATAAGCAGCATTTGGGCATACGTAATACATGTCCCAACCACCTCAGTCGATCTACCATCTTTATGTAGCACCCTATTACTCTGTGGTTCTAAGTTACACCAGCAAGGCTTGAAACTATCTATATTAGAGTAGATTACCAGTAAATTATGAATATCATCTGTTCTCATTTAACATGCTTTATAGCCATGAAGTAGACTGGACGAACTTCTGTGCAGTAAATTCATCTTTTTGTCTCTAGATGGATATCTTGTCTATACGACGAGTGACACTAGTTGACTCACGATCGACAGAGTCGAACGCCACTTTAAGGCCATTGAATGCACCTATAGTCGAACCTCATGGAGTGTGTCTTCTCTAGGATCTGTCGGAGGGTGGATATCCTGTCTATATATTCACCTCTATTTCCGAGATACTTTCACTGAGAGCCGTATTTTTGTATCAATTTTCTTGATAAGGTTGAACAGTTGTGTACTGTTACATATCTCTGCTGTCTTTTCCATCTGTTCTGCTTTCGCTTCACATTACTGCTCGCAATCACTACATAGGCTTCCGACCAACCTACGTTCAAGCTGTCTCTGATCCTCATCGTGTTCAGAGCCAGATGGTGTGGGTTTCCAATGATCTGTCAGTTCTCTAAACTCCGCTGAAATCCACTGATATTTCCTAACCATTTCGTTCAAGTGAGTAGTGAATATCACTGCAGTTTCCACAAATTTCTGGATCCCATACTAAGGTAATTCGGAGTGGATATCATTTTCACGGTTGACCAGCTCGTGTAGCTTTATACTGAAATGTATTCCTAACGATCTAGTGGTTAGCTTGTGCTGGAAGTGCTTCTCTAACTATAGCTATTCCACACGCAGTAGGATACGCAATATAGATGCTCAAACCGGAGTATGATCTGAGTATAAACGTGTATAATAGAATGAGCGACAAACTTCAATAGAGCCTCTCCAAATATGGCTAATGTTTTTGTGGTCTATTTGAGTCCATCGATGAGTCGACTGTGGGGCCGCCACTCTAGATGATGTTTCTCCTTATGTTTAAGTTGGGTGTTATCTATAAGTAAACGCTATCCGAACATAACTGTAGCAGACGGTCGGCATTATCTGATCTTCGAGCTACGACGCCGTATAACCTGCCTGAGTGCCTTTCAGTTTGGTTTAGCCAACCTAAGTGAGCACAGACATCGACCTTCACTAGTGCTACATCAGAGCGTTTAGCATTTCGCAAGAGATTGGATAGCTTCCTGTTATATATTGAGGTGCCGCCGAGTAGAGGGCAGTGAGTATCGATCGGATCAAGAACGCGTAAAACACGTGCGAGCGGCCTAGAATTCTGATTGTCCCTGCTTTCCGCCTACCCCAGCCAGTTAAGCCCAGAACGCCAGTCTCTGTCTCTGCGATATGAATCGCTGTATTTCAAACATACTGAGTTTATATACCAATCAAACAGAGCACAACTTAGCATACAATAGAAAATAACACTTGTACAATATTTGACCAAATGTGGCTGTGAATGTGGGAGGCAGTAACTAATAGAGAGGGCATAATTCTAGAATGGTAAAACGTATAATAATGGTTCGTACGTCAAAATAAAGCTTATAATAAAAGGAACATGAATATGAATAGTTTAGTTAATTAACAATTATACGATAGAAATATACGTGTAGTATTGGTCCACAAATCGATCCCAAAATTACCATTCATTATTCTTGTCGGGACATAGCACTTCCTATAACATTCATCTTTAATTTCGTCAGATCTGCAATCAGTGGGAGCGTAGGCAGAGACAACCGAAAGTCAACAACATGTGTCCCCAGCTTTTCGAGATTCTACTGTCATGTTTAGTCGAATAGCGCATAGTCCACTATTTACTGGAATCCAGTCTAGCAAAACCTGTTCTGCTTTAGAGTTTAGTGCTATACCTACACCATCAAGTTCACACTAAGCAGATGTTTGGCCTCCAGATACTCGAAAAGTAAGTTATGCCGGTTGATAATATTTGTATGTTGAGGCCAAATGAATGATCGCATTTGTATCCTGTATGCACGTCTCCCAAACACAGCATAGATGGATGGCAAGAGGTTCTAGAATCTTGACTTAAGAAGTCTGTTATCGTATTCGACAAAGGGTCCAAACTTCAACATCTACAATAAGTAGTTCTGAACTTGGTTTCAGGAGACTAGGTGTAACATTGCGTGAACCCGAATCATCAGCATTGGTGACACGTGGTGATAAAGATAAGGGGGAAGGGTCAGTCGTGTGAATGGGATAATTATTAAGATACGAGTGATGGATTTGGTCGTGGACAGGATGATTTTGATTAGTGTTAGTTGCAAGAATGTGTGTGCCATTTCACATCTACCTACACCGTGGACGGATGGAGTTATTGAGGGACCTGAAAAAGAAGCTGAATCAGCGATGGTTCTGGAGACCTTCTATAGGAAGTTTCTGGAGTGCTAGCTTCACTGCTTGCGAAATCAGAATCGCTGCAGATTGTGATTGTCTGAGGTAACCATCTTACTGCTGTCACATCCTTTTGCAGTCAGCAAAACGTCTTCACCCTCGGACCATAAATTCTGTAAATATGCACTGTAATATTATCCCAATATTTTTGGTTGATTACTTTTCCATTCGTTATTCAGTCGTGTTTACAAGTTGCGATTTTCACTTGAGAACTTGGAAAAATTGGTTGTGAGACTCGACATTGACGTATGAGTATAGAAATATGTGATTTCGTGAAAATCTGTGTACACTATGAAGATGTGTTTTATGTCTCAACTTTTACTTACAATCAGTATTTTTCTAATCTTCCTTCTCATTGATCATGTTGCTACCTTCCTGTCTCTGGATGTGGTGACTTCAAGTATGACAGCTGTAGTTGATAGACGTTTGCATGCTATATTTTGCCTTGTGTATGAATGACTGATATTTACTATCAAGTATTATCATTGAACTTTTTAGTATTTAAACATACTGAAGACATTTTTTCATTGTATCGTGGATTAATTTTCTTGTTTCGTCAGATGATGAAGATAATTATACAAGACGACGTCAAGCTCCATCTGCACCTCCAGAATACGGTTGGACATCGAATGTTATGGGTTCATCTCAATCACGTTCTCGATGGAATTGGAATAAATCAAACGATCAATCCACTTCATGGTTATCTAATGGTTTGGCTGCAGGTGCTGGATTTCTTGGAGGTTATTTTATGGGATCTAGATCAAATACCAATCCTGGTAATAGTTTCAGTGGTTGTTCACGAACTAATCCAATTTATACTGAAGAAGAATCATTTATTCGAAATGGAAATAGTTTTTCAGATATACATTATAATTCTTCAAATACACATTTTACACATGATCGTCGTTCACGAACTCCTTCACCGGAAACTCATATATCATCGGGTAATATACTAATGTTGGTTTTTGTTTATGTGTGTGTATGTAGAGTAGTTAATTTGTTTATCTGTGTACCTATTCAATTTTTTTCCTGTATTTTCTTTTTACTCTTTTAGGTTTTGGTGGTACATCGCGTAGATAATTTACTAACTATAGATGATCAACCATATTTACATTTACCAAATTATCATTCATCGTCATCATCGTCATCATCATCATCATCATCATCAAGATGTTCCTACAGAATTGTTCTCTGAATTAACTTGAATTTATTTGTGTTTATTCATTAGTTTTTTTTTTCTATTTTTATTATTTCAATAATCAATAACTTGTGTTCGGTGGGGTGTTTTTCTCTCTCCAACTTTGAACTCATCATTAAGTTAACTTATGTTCTGTTTATTTGTATGCAGAATTTGTATAATATATTTTAAGTGGAAATTACTTTGCATACTTTTAATATTCTGGTTTTTGGGCTTATTCTATGATGTTATTGTTAAGACCTTCGTGTTATAAAATTGTACAACGCGGATGTAGGGTATCTGTATCGATGACTCGTGGGCTATTCTAATTGAGTAGGAATGGTGTGACTTTCTAGCTTACTTCAAAAGAACTTCTTGTGGTTTATACTTGACGTGGATCATGATAAACAGGTGAATCAACTTTCTAAGTGATTGGTTAGAATATATGCTCTCAATAGGCAAGATCATGTATTAGTATTAACAGGTTACAGAAGTGCAAGACAATCACTGCCGTACAAACTTAGTTCATTGATGAGCCTCTATTGTCCTTGATAAGGATCTGCAAACTGAACACTTAGTGACCTGTTTACCTGGTGATTTGACTGGGGCCCGTTGACACTACACCTTAGAAAATAACGTCTTTATTGTACCGTCATACAGGCGATAAGTCAGAATTGTATTTCGATTTCGGCAACCAAATAGTTGCATAAGTGTGACTATGTAGTAGTTATTTGTTAGTACATTTTATAATGTACCTTGTGCTTCTTGAATTGAAATCAAATTCTAACGGCTTTTATAGTACAACCTTGAAATATTTGAATTATAACGTGTTACGATTACCCTTCTTGTCATGAGATCAATATTGCACGCAAGACGGAATGTCACGAAGTTCTCCCTACTTGCAGATCATCCTTGAATTGTTCCTTACAAATTCCATTGTTATTCTATTTCGTTTGTTACATCCACTGCTCTTTGTTTTTATTTCTTTTCCGTCAGTAAGAATCTTACTTCCAATTCCAGATACATACTACTTAAATTTGTTTTAGCCTGAGTTCTGCAGTAACAAATAATCACTAAACATAGATCAATATTTTCGTAACATCTACATAAAATGCATTCAACAAATCACTGCACTGCAATATCAGGTTGCTTCAACTAGTGATCGCAGTAATGCGTCTTCAATGGAATCTCATTACATTTTAGGACAAAATGATTTATCAGCTGGTGTTAGGTCAACATAAAAATACTCGTGAGTAATTATGGTCGCAGTGAGTGTGTATATCTGTCGAAATATGAATAAGTAGTCAATCCTGTCTAGCGTATTAATATGGATTAGATAACCTGGTGGCTGTCGAGATGAAACTAAAGTCAAATTAGTACTGAACAACGGGAAAAGTTGCATTAAGAAGGTTTAATACAGTATACCCTCGAGATACTGACAAACTCAAAATATATCTCAGTAACAGGTTCCAGGCCTTACAAGACCTACTTAAAGGAAAGGAACCAACCATGGAGAACAAATTAAAGGAGAGCAAAGAAGCAATGACCTCAACGTGTTGGGAGGGTCTGGACCTCATGTCGCATCAACATGCTGGATGGATCTCCTCAGAAACCCTGGGCAGGATGCAAGAAGGGAAGAGGAGGATGCCAGCAATCATCAACAACCGGACAAGTGCATAGAAAGCCAAAACACAGGCCAAATACACAGCAGCGAACAAGACAGTGGAGAGGAATGTTAAATCCGACCAGCGAAAATACGTGTGTCTATTATTAACGGTTTGAAGAGAAGGAATTATAAATCAATAATGTGATAAAGCGAATAGATTAATGGGGAAATTTTTCAAGCTAGAGCGGTCAATCAAGGACAGAAAAGAGAAGACAGTGATCGAAATTCAAAAACTGAGAGACACGTGAACGGAGCAAATTGAAGAACTCTTCAACAGATCAAATCTACTAAACTCACTGGACATTGAAGCAACACATGAAAATGTCTATGAACTCCAGCTGTCATACTTGAAGACACTACATCCAGAGACAAAAAAGTAGCAACATGATCGATGAGAAAGAAGATTAGAAAAATACTGATTGTAATTAAAAGTTGAGACATAAAACACATCTTCATAGTGTACACAGATTTTCACGAAATCATCAAGCTCAGAACTACTTGTTGCAGATGTTGAAGTTTGGACCCTTTGTCGAATACGATAACAGACTTCTTAAGCCAAGATTCTAGAACCTCTTGCCATCCATGTATGCTGTGTTTGGGAGACGTGCATACAGGATACAAATGCGATCATTCATTTGGCCTCAACATACAAACATTATCAACCGGCATAACTTACTTTTCGAGTATCTGGAGGCCAAACATCTGCTTAGTGTGAACTTGATGATGTAGGTACAGCACTAAACTCTATAGTAGAACAGGTTTTGCTAGACTGGATTCCAGTAAATAGTGGACTATGCGCTATTCGACTAAACATGACAGTAGAATCTCGAAAAGCTAGGGACACATGTTGTTGACTTTCGGTTGTCTCTGCCTACGCTCCCACTGATTGCAGATCTGACGAAATTAAAGATGAATGTTATAGGAAGTGCTATGTCCCGACAAGAATAATGAATGGTAATTTTGGGATCGATTTGTGGACCAATACTACACGTATATTTCTTTCGTATAACTGTTAATTAACTAAACTATTCATATTCATGTTCCTTTTATTATAAGCTTTATTTTGACGTACGAACCATTATTATGCGTTTTACCATTCTAGAATTATGACCTCTCTATTAGTTACTGCCTCCCACATTCACAGCCACATTTGGTCAAATATTGTACAAGTGTTATTTTCTATTGTATGCTGAGTTGTGGTTTGTTTGATCGGTATATAAACTCAGTATGTCTGAAATATAACGATTCATATCGCAGAGACAGAGACTGGCGTTCTGTACTTAACTGGCTGGGCTAGGCGGAAAGCAGGGACAATCAGAATTCTAGGCCGCTCGCACGTGTTTTACGCGTCCTTGATCCGGTCGATACTCACTGCTCTCTACTCGGCGGCACCTCAATATATAACAGGAAGCTATCCAATCTCTTGCGAAATGCTAAACGCTCTGATGTAGCACTAGTGAAGGTCGATGTCTGTGCTCACTTAGGTTGGCTAAACCAAACTGAAAGGCACTTAGGCAGGTTATACGGCGTCGTAGCTCGAAGATCAGATAATGCCGACCGTCTGCTGCAGTTATGTTCGGATAGCGTTTACTTATAGATAACACCCAACTTAAACATAAGGAGAAACATCATCTAGAGTGGCGGCCCCACAGTCGACTCATCGATGGACTCAAATAGACCACAAAACCATTAGCCATAGTTGGAGAGGCTCTATTGAAGTTTGTCGCTCATTCTATTATACACGTTTATACTCAGATCATACTCCGGGTTGAGCACCTATATTCCGTATCCTACTGCGTGTGGGATAGCTATAGTTAGAGAAGCACTTCCAGCACAAGCTAACCATTAGACCGTTAGGAATACATTTCAGTATAAAGCTACACGAGCTGGTCAACCGTAAAAATGATATCCACTCCGAATTACCTTAGTATGGTATCCAGAAATTTGTGGAAACTGCAGTGATATTCACTACTCACTTGAACGAAATGGTTAGGAAATATCAGTGGATTTCAGAGGAGTTTAGAGAACTGACAGATCATTGGAAACTCACATCATCTGACTGTGAACACGATGAGGATCATAGAGAGCTTGAACATAGGTTGGTCGGAAGCCTATGTAGTGATTGCGAGCAGTAATGTGAAGCGAAAGCAGAAGAGATGGAAAAGACAGCAGAGATATGTAACAGTACACAACTGTTCAACCTTATCAAGAAAACTGATAGAAAAATACGGCTCTCAGTGAAAGTATCTCGGAAATAGAGGTGAATATATAGACAGGATATCCACCCTCCGACAGATCCTAGAGAAGACACACTCCATGAGGTTCGACTATAGGTGCATTCAATGGCCTTAAAGTGGCGTTCGACTCTGTCGATCGTGAGTCAACTAGTGTCACTCGTCGTATAGACAAGATATCGATCTAGAGACAAAAAGATGAATTTACTGCACAGAAGTTCGTCCAGTCTACTTCATGGGTAAAAAGCATGTTAAATGAGAACAGATGATATTCATAATTTACTGGTAATCTACTCTAATATAGATAGTTTCAAGCCTTGCTGGTGTAACTTAGAACCACAGAGTAAGCAATATCTGAGTCAGGAATAGGGTGCTACATAAAGATGGTAGATCGACTGAGGTGGTTGGGACATGTATTACGTATGCCCAAATGCTGCTTATCTCGACGGGGCAACATTGTCAGTTGAAGAGGTCGGCTGGGAGAAAGCTAGAGGAACCAAAACCAAAACATGGTATCGGTGTATGAAGTCATCGACAATTAGACTTGGCCATGTCAACAGCTGTAAACTACCTTGTTGTGTTCAGCGTGATTATCGTAAACAATAGTTAAAGACTTTGAATGGCATGGCTCATGTGTATCCATACTTTGTCTTCCTCCAAATTCTGAACTTCTGAATTCCTCAAATTTGTCTTGTGTTTTCGATTTACTCATTTACATTTCGTACCTGAATTTTATTTTTGATGCCTCAAGTTCTTTATTACCACTGACATTGTTATTATCTCAGCATTTTTTCATTTGTCTAGATAATTTCATCATTTTGCGATGATGGGTTATGGGAACTTGAGTCAATATACATAATGTCCAGATGTTTCTTGATATGGACAAGAATGTGCTACATTACGTAATAATCTCTAATATCTCTCTTCATAATGGACAGTTCCGCGAAACGAGTGCGGAACGTTTCATCATACTAAACCAGAGAACGTTTTGAGAATCATCTGCTTGATTCCTGGTTTAGTATTATAGAGAATGAAATAGTGACTATCGGAAATATCGCCTGAACGTGATATCATCCACTTTATAATTGTGAAGCAATGGATCAAATCATTAATTCAACGGTGTGTGATCTGTTTAACCATTCACCGGTTTTACAGTAACTTTCAGACAAGTGCAACAGTGTGTTTTCTAACTATGTTAGAGGGAGAAGATAAGAAAGATCAAACCCAATATAGAACAATCGCATCATTCCCAGTACTCTCTAAGGTATTATTACTACCACCATCATTATCATCTTTTGTCATTTCACATTGTTTGCGCAAAAATTTTCACTTGCTGATTATGACTGTTTTGTTCCCCTTGTTTCTGTTCACGGAATTTTATAACCATTAATATTGCAAAAATATAATTTGCTGTCTGGTACCTGGACAGTATTTGGTATTAGAATACTAACTATCCATTTTATTCCATCTACTACACCTAGGTTAACTCTGTTTAGATGACGGCGGTAATAAGTAGTCAAATAAGGATTTAGTAGAAATAATTTATTCTATGCATTTTTTTGATCAGACAGATATTGAAAATGATAATTTGGCATGCGTGTCAACTCCCTTTTAATACCCACTAATATCGCTGATATAGCTCAATATAGTTACTACTTAGTAAGACAAAGGGAAGGGAACTGGATAAAATAATGAGTTACACAAGAACAAACAAGGCGTGTAAGCGTAGATTCAAAGGCTCATGTATATAAGATATCAAGCTC